ACCCATAGTCAGCTTTCAAGCTTCTTGGATCAGCAGAACTGTTGCTGCCACAGCACGCAAGCATCCCGACCATCCTCTACTCACATTATCAAGTTGTTTGGAAAAGTATCTCACCGGTCGCTTCCAGGATCCCAGCCGCTGTGTCAGCACTCCGAGGGCCTTTCATGTACAAAAAGCTCAAAAGGTTTCGTCAGATCAGGTAAACCCAACGCAGGGGCCATCATCAATGCTCTTTTAAGTTCTTTAAATGATTTCTGGCATTCGGGTGTCCAAACCAAATACTGATCTCTAGACTCTTTCAAAGCCTCATACAGTGGTTTCACATACAGTCCATAGAGTCGGCACCACCCAATCATCCCCAGAAAGGCTTTCAGTTCCTTTGGGTTGCTAGGTTCTGGAATTTGGCAGATGGCCTCTTTCCTTTCATTCCCAAGTTGTCTTTGTCCCTGAGATATCTCAAAACCCAAATAGATCACTGCTTCTTTTCCTATTTGGGCTTTACTTATCAAAACTCTGTATCCTGCTCTTCCCAGAAAATTTAATAAACTGATAGTAACTTCAAAACATTCTTCTTTACTCTTTGCTGCTATCAGAATGTCATCCACATACTGCAACAATACACCTCTCTCTTGGTTCCGTTTTCTCCATATCTCTAATTCTTTTGCCAATTGATTTCCAAATATCATAGGGCTATTTTTAAATCCTTGTGGAAGTACAGTCCAGGTTAATTGCATCCTTCGTCCTGTGGTGGGGCTTTGCCATTCAAAAGCAAATATGCTTTAGCTCTTTTCACCCAGAGGTATGCAAAAGAACGCATCCTTTAAATCTAGTACAGTAAACCATTTGTGTTCGTCTTTTAAAGAGGTCAATGCAGTGTATGAATTAGTCACTACTGGGTGTATATCTTGGACTATCTGATTTATGGCCCTTAAATCCTGAACTAGTCGATATTTCTTGCCTCTGGATTTCCTTACTGGCAATATAGGAGGATTATATTCTGATTCACATTCTACCAAAAGCCCATATTCTAAAAATTTTGTTATTAGCCCCTCCAATCCTTTTTGAGCCTCTCACTTAATAGGATATTGGTTTTGTCTTACCGGCTTAGCTCCAGGTTTTAAAGTCACTTTTACTGCTTCTGCCAATTTAGATTGTCCTGGAACTCTGCTGGCCCAAACTAAAGGAATTACTGCATTTTCCACTTCTGTAATCTGTTCTTCCCTAGGGGAATCCTGTAACATAAACACTCTTGCCTCTATGGCTTTTCATTCTTGATTTAGTAACTTAATTTCTCCATCTTTGAAAATTATTTGTGCATTTATTTTGCTTAATAAATCTCGTCATAGCAAAGGTAAGGGGCATTCAGGCATATACAGACACTGGTGAGTTACCCATTGTTTTCCCTGTTTAACTTCAGTGGTTTTAGGAAAGGCCGATTTTCCTTTTGCCCTGTCGCACCAACAACACCTACTGATTTATGACTAAATTTCCCTTTTGCATTTGTTCAATATGGAATAAGTGGAACTGCCCGGAGAGCTGGGTCTAATTCTCCAGCTCTGGGGCATTCCCTTTGCCAATGCCCACGTTCCTTACAAACAGCACATTGATCTTCTGTCAATCGGAGATTTACTTTCCCCCTTCCTCTAACATTCATTCTTCGTCTCCTATTATTCTCAGCTAGGACCGCCAGTAATTTTCCATCTCTCCGTGCTTGTCTCGCTTCTCTTTCTTTCTCTCTATTATTATATACAGTCCAAGCTACTTCAAGCATTTTACCCAGATCTCTCGATTCAGGTCCTTCCAGGTTTTGGAGTTTGGTGGGGTTTTTTTGGTTTTGTGTGGGTTTTTTTGTTTGTTTGTTTTTTTTTTTCCTCATATCCGAGGCTGACTGCCCCATAAATAGAGAGGCCAATGGTGCTGCTGCTTCTGGATTTTCTGGATCTAAATTGGTACATTTTCTAGCAGTCACCCTCAGTCTTTCCATAAAGGCTGAGGGGGACTCACTTGGTTCTTGTCTTACTTCATAAATTTTGGACCAATTTAATGCTTTTGGCATTGCATGTCTTACACCAAATAAAATCCACCGCTGATATCTAGTCAACATTCCCCTGGGTCCCAGTTGATTGGGGTCCCGCTCGGGATTTGTAGATGGAAAATTCTGGTCCGCTCTCCCTTGTAAATCTCCGTTAGCATGTGCTCCCTCTACCTGTTTTCTAGCAGCATTCAGCACCAGTCTCTTTTCAGTATCATCGAGCAAAGTGTCCAATATTACTTGTAAATCATTCCAATCAGGGTCTTGAGTTCTAATTATTGTTTCAATTGCCTTAGCTACCTTCTCAGGGTCCTCCCGATAAGGACCTGCAATCTCTTTCTATGATCTTAAATCAGTAATCAAAAAAGGAACCTTTACCCCCACCGGACCATCATTTCCTACCGCTTCTCGGAGAGGGGCTTGGAGAGGGGCCTGTCCGGCCTCCCCCCTCCTCCCTCATGTCCTTCCCGAAATCGGGCTAAACCCCTCTGCTTCCTCTTCCATAGGGGGAGCAGATGGATCATTACCTCCCAAATTCTGGGCTCCCTGACCCCTTCTACGGTGAGGTGCAACCATCAATTCAACATCATTCTCTTCCGTTCCTTCATTCATATTACAAAGAGAACACCACCTTCTCAGATTTTTACCACACTCCTTACTACATCCCGAACAGCATCTTTTATCAAACTCTTCTTCCTTCAAAACCATTGCCAAATAACCAGATGATATTCCACACGCTTTCTGCCACTCCGGATGATTCCACAATGTAAGGAACAGATCAACATAAGCCATTTCATCCTATTTACCTTCTCTCTTACAAAACAACATCAACTGTCAGATGATATTATGTTGCAATGTTCCATTCTCTGGCCACTTCACCTTCCAAAATATATATTGGCCAACAGTACTCAGTCAGTTGTTTCTGAGTCAACGGATCGCCCCCCAGATCTTCCCAGTGTTTCAAAATACATCCCAAAGGTGTTTTTCGTGGGATGGGTTTCTTACTCGGAAATGTACCCATCTTCTTAAAAGACTAGTGAGTGTGATCGTGCACTATCGCAAGCACTAGCTAAAAGGTTTATATAATTTAGTATCTATATACAACCTAGTCAGGGGACTCTAACCCCTATCCATCCTTACCCGGGATTTTAGCCCAACCTTGCGAAGCTTTCGCTGCGTCTTATCGGCAGGCAATACCTGGGGACTCTAACCCCGCAGAGGTACCTCCCAGCCCAACTCTGCGTAGCTTTCGCCGCGCCTTGCAAGCAGACGGGTGGGATTTGAACCCGAAGCTTTATCCCCTTCAAAGAATGCCTTGTTACCTGTCCAGGGAACTTGCTCGGAATTCTTCGGTCTGGGGATCAGAGGTTCTCCCCGAGAATCCCTCGGTGCCGGCTGGAGGTCCCGTGATCCCACGGATCCGTCGAGATTCACAAGCGTCGTCCCATCTGGGTCGCCAAAACTGTCACCGAAATTGGGAGGAATAAACCTCGTAACACCAAGGTAGTGTTAAAAGGCAGGCATTCTTTATTCACGGCGCCGGATGCGCGGGGGATCGCTCCCCCTAACGTGCATACCTAGCGCCTGTTTCAGTCAGGTTATATCTATAACAAATATATACATATTCCTTACATTCATACATAATCAATAACATTCTCTCTAACGATTGGTACAAATTCTCTCGCTTCCTATGTAAATTACTGCTCAAACTCAGTTGTTCACTTCTGTTGCTCTCTTTTGAGTAGGTGGTATCATTGGGGTAGGTGGTCAATGAGTCGGTGGTCGCGATCTCCCCCTGCCAGAATTACCTCCTGCCTACTGGGCTCTCTCTCTCGGTAGTCCTAGCCAACTTTCTTGGTCCGTTGCACGGAATTACCCTTCATCTTCTTCCCCTGACAGGTGCACAGTGCCTAGAGCTTCAGCTCCATTAATAAGGACCTTAAAACTACAGACCATACCCTGTTCTCATTGTCCTGAACTTAGTGTTCAGCTGGGCAGGGCTGTACAGAAGAGAAGGCAGCAGCGTTGGTGGTTGCGTTTTGTAGTTAACCGATTCGCTCCCATCACCCCAATGCTGAAAACTAAGATACCTAACAATTTCATCCCCATCCTTTTGGTTACAGGCGGAATCCCTCCGCTTCCCCTTCCCTAGGAGAAACAGAAGGATTATCAGGCTCCGAAATTTGAACCCCTCGCCCCCTTCTCCGGTGAGGCGCAACCATCAATTCAACACCATCTTCCTCTGTCCCCTTTTTCAGGCAATTTTCATCAATCCCGCTAGTAGAGCAACACTTGTTCAAGTTCTCACGGCGTTTTCCTCCTTTCAGAAGCATCACCGTAGACTTTTGTGGATCTCTCCCGCGCCGCTTCTGCCCTTGTGGACGATTGGCCAGCGTAAAGGACAAAGGGAGCTCTGCCGCTTGGTCTCCTCGCCGTGCGGTTTGGAGGTTTGGGTGCCCGAGCCCCGGCAGCGTGGCTTTTAGGGGAGCCGGGCGGTGGCGGCCTGAGCGGGGCCCGTGGCTCTGGGCGGTGCCGCTGCCCTGCTGGGTGGTCTGGGCGGGCGGGGCCCGCGGGCAGGGGCGGGGCCGTCGCCCTCCTCCCCGTGCTGCAGGCTT